TAAACCCTAATTAGAACCAAGTTCTCGTTCCTAGACCATTCCCAACATATTCCGTCTGACAAGCGCCACGCTTCATCGATTCGAGCCAGAGGATGTGGTGTGGCGAGGCTGCTTTGCGTGCGCGAAGCTCCCGGACTGTTGACTGTTGCGATGTCACCCCCGAGGTCTGAGCAGGTTTAGGGTTTACCCAGAGGCCCCAAAGTCGTTCTTTTTTGGGGATTACCTTATAGGATTCTATATGCGAACCCCAAAAAGGAACTACTTTGGGGCCTTTGGGTATAGGGTTTAGGGTTAGGATAAAAGGGTTAAAGCTGTTGGGCTTTGTGGGTAGGGTTTCTGGCTTCGGGCTGCCAGGGTCTTCTAACTAATAACAGCTGGCATAAGTATCGTACAGGTATAACCTGATACTTACAAGTACTATAACTACTATACCCGGATTGAAGGGAGCACAGTGACACAGTGTTCGGCCCTCAAAGTACTCTAGCCTGCATCCTAGAACCTGTTCCGCTGGCTATAGTTATTGGCAGCGCAACAACATATGACCGGCGATGGGGTTAGTATGATATGACGAATCGTATTATTTGCGATTGGCATTTCTAGCAGTGAAGACTTTCCGACCAAGAGACAATGGGGCAGCCCGAATCCACGCCGCATCAGGGTCTTACAGAAAAAGCTCAAGACCCACTTTCTGTCGGTTCTGCACTCGGCCTATAACCATATCCGTTACCAGCATGATACCGCAAAAACCAAAGAAGAGCTTTGACAAATGTCTGTCGATAGAGCGGGGCAAAGGAGGGAGTTCCCACCTGTTGAAGCGCCGATTGTGCCTCAGCTTCCGCCGGTTTCTGCACTTAAACAAAGCTTTGGGCAAAAGAGGTTTCAGGGTCTGCCCCTAGACCTCCAAACCCGTAGGCTAAACCCGATACCCTACCTTAACCTACCAAAACCTACTTTTTTGTAGGTTCTTATTATAAGCCCCAATATGGAATTTATAAGGGCCCTACAAACAGGTAGGTTTTGGTAGGTTAAGGTAAGCCCCTGGGACCTTAAAGGGCTAAGCTTCCAGGTTCAGAGCCGAGGTCTGGGGTTCGCAAAGCGAAGGTCGCCTATCAAGGCTTCAAAGAGACTCCAATATCCCTTCCCAAAGGGTCCAAAGTACCTTTATAGTAGAATGTAGGGTTTCTGTATGGGGAATTACTATTATGACTGGGGGAAGTATCCCCCATAACAGTACATAGGACCCTTTGGGCTTGATTAAGGAATATACCTTGAATCATATTTGGGGATCCTACTATAATTTAAGGTATATTCCCTAATTAAAGGATATTGGAGTCTCTGGGTTCATCTTCGAGCTGCGAAACACATGGGTGGTTGTCAAAATTAGGGTCCTTTTTTGGGTCAAATAGGCACCCAAATTTAGGGTAACCAAAAAAAGGCCTGATTTTTGAGAACCTAACTCTAAACCCTAAGCCCAAACTACGAAGCAGAAACTTTGGCGGGGAAAGGATGGTTAAGCCCAAAACCCTAAAGCTATGTCTGCCAATGAAGGACGCAATGTAGCAGTCCTTTTGCTTGCTTGTGCACCTGCTTCGCAATGCTGCACGGCATTGTCACTGTCGAAAACCCATGATGTGCCGTTGCGATGCAAATCCCAAAGGCTCCATGTACCCATATAGTAGGTACTTCGAGCTTAAAGTAGCCATGGAGGGACCACTTTAAGGCCTAAATACCTACTATATGGGTACATGGAGCCTTTGGGAATACCACTCGGAAACAGAAGAAGCTGATGACCAATGTAGTAGCAGCCGCATGGTCGTCACAAACACCCAGCATGTTTAACCCCTATACCCTAAGTCGTATGTATTCCGGGTGCCTGTCCTTCTTCTGCTACAAAAAGGACTCCAAAACGTTGATTGTCTGACATTTGTGGTTGCAGCATCGACATCAACCTCACACTGAAATTCGGGCGCATAGTTCGAGGATCACAGCAGAAACCCTGCTCAAATAATCAGGCCTCCTCTGGACAACACAAAAGCCCACCTAAACCCTACACCCTAAACCCCTAAACCCTAAACCCTAAACCCTAAAGCCCTAAACCCTAGAACCCTAATCCCTGAACTTAATTAAACCCTATACGTAACCCTAAACCTAAACCCTGTAACCCTGTAACCCTATAAACCTGTACAACCCTAAACCCCTAAACCCCCTAAACCTAAAACCCATATCCCTAAACCTTTTACCCCCAAAGGGCCCTAAAACCCTAGGGACCCCTTAGGGGAATCCTTAAACAAACAAAGCCCTTAAAGGAACCCAGAGCCCTAAACCCAAAACAGCTGGCCGTGCCTTCCCGTCGGCCCTGAGGAGAGTCCACCCCTCGCCTTTGGAAGTAGGGGGTCGGGGCTGTTGGGATAGAGTTGTAAAATATAGGGGCATGAATAATTGGAAGAGTGTTCTGGGGCCCATTACACTGTAATTACAATAAAGAACCCCCCAAAAAAATAGTAGAGGTAATGATGAAGGCCCCTACACTATAGGGTTTGTAAGGTTTGGGGTTAAAGGTTTATAGCCTGGGGCTTTAGTTTCGTGGGTATTGGGGCTCATGGTTTAGGGTTGCAGGGTTTAGGATTCAGGTCAGGGTTGAGGGCTCAGTGCTTAGGGGTTAAGGTTTGGAAACATCACCTGGAGACCCCGGAAGGCCATATATAAGGTCTAAGGGAAGGGCAGTGAATTACAATTAGGGGTTTATGAGGATAAATTCGGTCCATAGGCAAGGAAAAGAGTTTAATGTGAAGAAGGATTCGCTCACCGGGCCACCGACTTTCGTAAAGAAAAAGTAAGTTGTGTGATTCGCAGTGTATTTTTTGGTGAGTGGGCTCTATGCGAGATTAAATCTTCAGGGCTTCTAATGTTTGAATTTCGAAGTCTGGTGATGCACGGTGCTTCGAAAGTTCAGGCTTTAATTAACTATGCACTTGTTGGCCCAAATCTCACCCTAGCTGTTGCGCCATTGGGATGCTCTCGGAGTGCTGTGACACATGGGGAGCGGCCACACCACCGTATCTTGACTATGCACGAGGGAGCCCTTAGCCAACCATGAACCCCAACACCCTAAACCCTGAACCTTAAACCGCAAACCCTAAAACCCTAAACCTTAAACCCTAAACTCCACAACCCTAAGCCTTAAAACCTAAAACCCAAAACCTTAAACCCTACACCCTAAAACCCTACACCCTAAAACCCTAAACCTTAAACCCTACACCCTAAAACCCTAAACCCTAAAATCATAAACCCTAAAAACCCCTAAACCCTAAAACCAGCCTTCGAACCTACAAGCTGCCTCTAAAACCCTGGAAACCAAGAGCCCCGAACCTTCACCGGGCTCTTGTTGAGGAATCTGATTTCGTTACCATAGTTAGGGTTTAGGGTTTAGGGTTTAGGGTTTAGGGTTTAGGAATCTGATTTCGTTACCATAGTTTGGGTACGGCCCCCATACAGTAAGAGTCTATAATGGGGCCTACTATGAAGGTCCTAATATATCTATATTATGAATATTGTTCAACTATTACTGAGTGGGGGCCGTACCTAAACCATACTATCAAAGGGGAAAAGGAGGGACCCTTAATGGGGACCCCTACCCTACAATGGGCTATGTAACGGGTATATAATAGCTATATTAATGGTATATACCTAGGGGTCCTTATTAAGGGTCCCTCCTTTACCCTTGGATACTAAGGAAACCACATTACCTGGACCCCCAAAAGTATGTAGAATAATGGCCTTTTTAGGTATTGGGCCAATATTTTACCTACTTCGGGGGGAGGTTAGGTATGTACGATAAACCCCTATAAATGGTAACTTAGGTTAAATTCCTCAACAAGAACCCAGCTTCAGGGGAAAACGCTGGGCGCTGCACCTCGTTTGAGCACTGGGCTCTGTTGCCTGAGCCGAGCGAAGGTTTTTTTTTAATTTTTCAGGAGGACTGAGACCTGTGTACCTGGACCTGAAACCCTAAACCCTACCTTAACCCTGAATAACCTACCTTTTTAGGGTTCCTTATTATGATTTCTATAGGTCGTTAAAAAGGTAGGTTATTTAGGGTTAAGGTAAACCACTAAACCCTAAACCCCTAAACCCCTAAACCCTGAAATCCCAAACCTTCGACCCTAGCTCCTAAATCCGGTCCCATAAGCCCTACCTTGGAATCCGAACACCTACCGTTTTAAGGGTTCTACCCTCTAATTAAGGCTAAGGGTTTAGGGTTTAGAGTTTATATGGTTTAGGGTTTAGGGTCATAACCTACTATTTTGTAGGGTTTGGGGATACAGGTAACCATACACTAAGCACCAAGACTCGAGTGCGGAGTAGCTTGAATTAGTCGTTTCTCTCGACCAAGGGAGGATTCAACACCGACTACTCCACTTCGCATGTAACAGCCATGTCCCAATAACCTCAAACCTAAGCTTTTCCCGAAATCCCTGGACCCCCAAACTCTAAACCCTAAACCCTAAATCCTAAATCCTAAAACCCTAAACCCTAACCCCCAAATCTCCGAAACCCCTAGGCCCCAACACGCTGGAGCCTGGAAGCCCAGTAGCTCACGCAGCCCCCCACGTTCAACCCTAAACCCTAGAACCTGAGAACAAAACCCTAAAACCGGGAAACCCGAAACCCCAAAACCGCGAAACCACTTAACCCCCAAAAGCCTAAGCCCCTAAACTAAACGGACTAAACCCGGAACCACTGAACCCTCAATTCCTAAACCCTAATCCCAAAGTGTCCATGTATCAAAATGTAGTGTATACTTTGGCCTCGAAGGACGTATACAGGGACTCCTTTAACTACTATTTGCTTAAGAAACCCCCAAACATAAAAATAACAATCCCGATATTACCCCGATAAGGAATATATTATATGTTTTATTTTTGGGGGTTCTTAAGCAAATAGTAGTTAAGGCCAATGTATATGCGGCACCTGATTTACATTACCGTTTTTCGCGCAGTATGGGCATGCTCAAGCCCCTGCGGAGACGGCTGTTTGGAGCCCAACGCTATGATATAGCGGTTCGCCGAACTCTGCTGCGGGCTTTGTCAGTTTCGCGCTATGTCCACACAGCAGCTGCATTGATCCTGCCTGCTGCTGTTCACAGGCGCCTATGGGAAAGGCAGTACATCTCCCTCTGGCGGGTCCTTCTCGCCCGCACTGCTGTCGACGCACTTCCGCATAGCTATGCTGTCCTACTTGCTGCGAAAGCCGCCCCTCCCAACTTGGCACTCGCGGACGCTCGGGCAATGTGCTTGCAGAAACTGTTCCGACAGGGCCCTTCAGAACTGCTTGCCTTCCTGTATGATCACTGGAGTTTGGCACGCAAGACCTCGTGGCTCCGGCAACTAGAGGACGACGTTTGTTCAGTCGCTGTCTTCGTCCCCAGCGTCCGGGACTGCCTGCCAGTTCAACACACTGTTCTCGCCCTGCTCGAGGCGCATGAGACGGACGTCTACTGGTGGCGCAAACAAGTTGCACGAGCCACAAAGCAGTTCCTCCAGGACGCTGCAGCTTGGCAGGTTGCACGTCGGGCCGGACACCTACCCACCCAGGCCGGTCCTGCAGGTCAACCCGAACAGGAATACCAATGCTATTTGTGCGATAGTTCCTTCCCGCTCAGAAAGCACTTGCACGTGCATCTTGCTCGAACACACAGGATCTACAGCCCGGCCAGGCACTATACAACTAGTGAGGTCTGCACCTCCTGCATGCGCGTCTATTCGGACGTTGTGCAAGCACAACAGCACATGAAGCACTCTCCGGAATGCCTACGGCGGGCATTATACGTGCATAGGCCGCTTACCTACGAAGAAATTCTCGAGCTGGAACGCCCTGTACAGGCTTACAACCAGCGCCTACGTGCCGGCCAGTGGCAACACTTCAGCTGTCGCGGCCCACCGCGAAAGACTCCCATCAGCTTTGGGCCGCGTGCACCTACGGCTGAGGAACGCCTCCTTGGACTTGAGGACGAGGACGATGTGCCCATCAGTCACCTTGCCCGTTTCTTCCGTCCTACTGCTAGCCATGTAGTCTGGGTCCAGGATTACTTGAGCCACCGTAGCACAGAGGGTCCTCGGCAGTCCGCAAAGTCCTTTTGGATGGCCAGACCGTTTCACTCCGAATTCGTTTAGCCTTTTTTGTGATGCGCTGCCCCGTGCTGTAACACGCAGCCTGCAGCCCGACGATCAGACTCCAATCCAATCCAATCCATTGGTGACCCGAACCCTTGAGTCCTAGACCCTTATATAGAGCCCTGATTATAGAAACCCTTATCGTAACCCTTACTTAAAGGAACCCTTAAAGGATCCCTACTTGGAGGATCATGGGACTTAGCAAGTATGGTTATAAGTACCCTTATTGGGGTTATAGGTATAGTTAGAAGTGCAGCTACCCTAATAGTAACCTTATACTAAGTCCCATGATCCGTTAAGTATTCAGGCACCTGGACACTTCATCCCTGCCTTGAGGGCGAGCTGGGCGCACCCGCGGCGCGACGCCGCCGGGATGCCTGGACCTCCCCATGCTTCCCAGAGGCCAAACCCAAGGGTATGTACAGTGAACCCCAGAATGATGGAACATAGATTTAGGATGATTCATGCTGGGATTCCCTATACTTTACTTTAAGGGCATGAGGCTGGTGATGTTCCAACTTTCTGGCTTCTACTGTACTGTTATGGGGGATACTTCCTCAAACCAAAATAGTAATTCCTAGCATGGACCCTACATTCTACTATATCGGCACATAGGACTCTTTGGGGAATGCGAATTCGGGTTTCGGGTTTACCCTAAGGGTCCAAAGGACCCAGTAATTGGGTACTTAGGTTTCGGATAGTAGTTATGTAGGTCACAGTACTATTTGGGAGCGTATATGATCATTGGGTACTTGGACGAGATTCAGGGTGTAGGGCTTGGTGCGAGGGATTGGGGTTCTGTAGTTGGGAGTGCCGCAGTACGCAACAGTGATATGGGGGCCTTGGTCGGTGGGTTCAGGGCTAAAGGGTCTCATGCTTTCGCTTCCATGTACATGCGGTCTTCGAGAGGGAAGCCTCGGTATGTCCAAGCTAGGGGCTTTGAGCAGTTACTTGAGAGTTTCCGAAAATTGGGGACCCTATAGTACCCTGCATAGTAGGAACCTCCCAGTTGTAGTTTACACAAAGGCCTGAAATTCCTCAGTGCTCGTTATGTGCAAGCCAGAACTCACACAGAAAAGTCGAACCGAGCTTCGGCCTACACTTTACTAAACCAAAAACCCTAAATCCCATTCCTTCCCAAAGGCTCCATGTACCCATATAGCAGGTACTTAGGCCTTAAAGGGGTCCCTCTATGGCTGCTTTAAGGCCGATTTACCTACTATATGGATACATGGAGCCTTTGGGCTTGCAATTGTACTAGCTCCTTACCCCATATCATTTGCAGAGCCGACCTTCAGCTGTGCAGGTGCACCCCCTTACTGCAAGTACCAAAACGCCCCAAAACCCAACAGCTGAAAGCCCCGAAGCGATGCAGCTGCACAAACACACAATGCATCCCATGAGGCCCCTGCAACATGATCACACAAGGCCACGCTTGCTTGGAGGTTCATGGGTAGTTATAAGTAGGGTTGTAAGTAGGGTAACTATACTTATAACCCATATGAGGGGACTTATAACCCTACTTATAATTACCCCTGAACCTCCAAGTGCGACCTGTACAAAATAGACCCATGACGACTCCTTTCAAGGCGCCAAAGACTCCAAACCAAAGATCTATCCTAAAACCAGAAACTCCCAAAGGGTCCTATGTACCGATATAGTAGAATGTAGGGTTTCCATGTTAGGAAGTACTATTATGACTTAGGGAAGTATCCCCCATAACAGTCCATAGGACCCTTGAGACCGTAAACTCTATCAGGTTCTCAAGGCTTCTAAAACCTGGCGAAACCGTGTATGAAGCTCCGCAAACCCCGAGCAACCCACACAGCTCAAAAAATGTCGAAACCAAAAGGGTCCTATGTATTGTTGTGGGGGATACTTGCCCAAATCATAATCGTAGTTCCTAATATAGAAACCCTACATTCTACTATAAAGGTACTTTGGACCCTTTGGGAAAACACACAGTGTCTCTGTCTGTCTCTTTCGCTCTGTCTCTCTGTCCATCTGGACTCTACCTCTATTTCTCTATCTCCGTGTATATTATATGTATACATGTCCATGTATCACGCGAAGAAGCAAGTCAATAGATAGACGATGAATAAAGAACTGAATAATTAAACAAGTCTACATTTAGAAAACCAAAACCCGAACACATTTCGCGAGAGAGGGCCTTCCGGAAACACTAAACCCTTGCAGAGCCCTGTAAAGGAACCCTTATAGTACCCTTAGAGTAGCCCTTTAAGGGAACTTTTAGGTACCCCGAACTGTGGGAAACTCCTCGGGCCTCAGTGGAGTGCCTTTGCCGCTCCCCACGCTCCCTGCGCAGTGCGGCACCCAGCACCTCACGGATCTTCGCTTTCGAACTCCGCAAAGCAAAACCCTCAGGGTCCCCTCCCCTAAACCCTAAACCCTAAACCCTAAACCCCAAATAGGGATCCTTTAAGGGCTCCTGGAGGGTTTAAGGATCCATGTACCTAAATGCTATATACTTTGGCGCTAAAGTGCCGACATAGGGACTGTTTCAATGCCAAAGTGTAAACAAATTGGGAACATGGGCCCTTAGGGAAAACAAAAACAACACAGAAACGAGGCATATATATATATATATATATGTATGTATAAGAGACAGAGAGAGAGAGAGAGAGAGAGAGAGATTTAGCAATTGGTGGGGGGTGTCCCGTTGCGGATGATGTCACCAGCATTCACTACTCAGACACGCAGCTGCCAGGCTAGGAAGTCGCCATGTTGGACCTCTGGCTACCGGACGGGATGCAAATGAAGGCAGAAAGTTGGGCTTACCGCGGCAACGTACAGCAATTTTGTTTTATCTATGTAGTCTATACAGTGTGAGGCGTTTCGTGGGTTTCTCGTTGTTTTACAATAACTGACTTACTTGACATGGGTAAATCATTGAAGGCGTCCTGGAGAAATTATTAGGGCCACCAAAAAGCACATAAGTAAAATTGATAGGGATATCCCATATAGACCCCCTTATAATGAAGCCCATTAAAGTAGGGATAGATTATATACTAAGTACGTCCTCCTGGAGCCCTGGAAGCGAACCTGCTGCGCTCCGTCTCGAAGGTTGGATTCAAGTCTTCCGTCGACCCAATTGCGCCAAAGCATGACAATGTTATAGCAGAAACAACGGTAATATAGAGGCCTTAATAATTGATCTCCAGAGGACTGTTGTGGCGTGGGAAGATAAGGACAACATCAGCATTTCTTTACCTCTTCGTTGCTACCTGTGATGCAGCAGAACAAGCATGCTTTGCTTCGAGCGGTCTCTGTGGCAACACACGTGGCATGGAAAACTACGTGGACGCATATGTGCAGAACACCCAAAACGAAGCGACACATGCTCATGAGGCTTGTATTAGGACAGATTCTCATACAGATGCTCAAGGCTTTTCTCTTTGAGAACGGCCTTCATGTCATTTCAATTGTCACCGTTGTTTTTGTGATTGTAATATGTAGCACTTCTTTAACGTAATTGTTGCAATCAGTTTTATTGCCGTTATGGTATTGTTAACACGGTTGTTACTATAACAATATGAAGGTTCCATGCGGGAAGACCCCCCTTGGAAAACACACATCACGAATAATGGCGTCGTAGTGCCACATAGTGACATAGTATTTTGATGAAGCTGCTTCGCGCGATGAGGCAGGAGCCGTTCCTAAAGCCGTTATTTCCTTCAATTCTTGCCTGCCGGATAGTCAACACTGCTTTCTAACGGAAAAGGCCGACGTCATTCGTGTACTCGCGCGTCAGTATACCTAAGGAAGAAAACCAAGAAAGCCAAAAAGAACAAAGAATCCGAAAACCAAAAACACCAAACACCAAAAAACAACAAGTCTCCAAGAGACTAGTCCACCAGAGAATTGTGTGTTGTTTCTTGTTTGGTTTTTTGTTTGTTTTGTTTTTTGGGGGCTCGGCTGACAGGCGCGTACCTGTGCAGGAGCGAAAAAACAAAAAAAACAAAAACAAAAACAAAAACAAAAAAACAAAGAAACCAAACAAAAACACAAAAAAACAGAAACCAAAAAAAACAAAAGAACCAACCCCATACCTCCGGAGCCGCCCGGTGACATGGGGTCGGTTCTTTTGTTTTTCTTGGTGTTTGTTTTTTTTGTTTTTTTTGGTTTCTTTGGTTTCTTTGGTTTGTTGTTTTTGTTTGTTTTTGTTGTTTTTTTTAGGTTTCTGGGCTTACTCCAGGATGCAGCAGTGCTTATCACTTCTTGCTTTGCTGATTGTACAGAACGGAAGACTTCGCTTTAGAACAAGGGCTTTGCTTTAAAACCTGCGTGGTGCAGTTAAACTTTATTCAGATGGGACTGTTGTGGCTGGTATTGCTACTCTTGAACCTGCAAAAACTGCTTATGTATACACGCCACAACAGTCCTTTCTGTAATAATTAGAATAGGGTTTTGGGGCCCATTCTACTATATTTATAATAAGGAACCTCCACAATAGTATAGGTAATTATTTAAGCCCTTTTACTAAGTAGAAAGAGACCTGATCGCAACAATCATGACATGGAAAGCTGCGGCTCCTTTTGCTTTGAAACTATCCTTGATGTGGTGAAACGTGGACGGTGAGTCGTTCGACTCCTCTGCCACCGCCTTGACGGCTACATCTGCTGGGAGCTTCGGGTACGCTATCGTGATGAGGTCGTAGCATCCGCATGAACTTAGGGTTTAGGGTTTACGGTGTCTAGAGTTATTCGGATTGCTACGTCCTAGGGTCGTGTTTAGGGTTGTTCACATCTGTAACAGTGTAGTAGGCTGTTGCAACAAGCCACTGGTGCCCCCCTGATTGCCCTTGCGGGCGAAATTGCCAACCAACGTTGAAACAAAGAGCATTCATGCAAGAACCCAGAGCCATGCCCATTGAACAAGGCACTGAAGAAGGTCCTTGCCCAAGGAGAACCCTTGCATGGAATGCTGGGCCTTACATGCTAGGTCCTGCACATAATGCATCTAAGAGTCTAGGGGCGTGTTGAACAATCCTAAATACGACCCTGGCCCCTAAAATCGCAAAACTGTACATGTTAACCCGACAAACACTAGACGAGATGCTACCGTAACTCCCCAAATCCTGCACCCAAAACCCAAAACCTAGAGCTCTGATTGGACTTGCAATGTCAGGGCGACCAAAACCCAAAACCCCTAAAGCCGCAAACACAAAATCTCTAGCACCGTTGCTAGTACTTGGAGGTTCATGGGGTGATATAAGTCGGGTAACTATACTTATAACCCATATTAGGGGACCCTAAGTCACCCACCCGAATCCTTGAAACTGCTGTGCAGAAGGCCCTTCGGGCCCAGACAGCGAGAGACCTAAAGGAAACCAATGCGCTTCTGCAGAGATGGCTCTCCATACTAGGCGACCACCTTAGTAAGGCTTAGGGGTCCCTTTAAGGGACCTATAGGGGTACTATAAGGATTTAGGGTTTAGGGTTTACGTGGAGGATCATGGGACTTGGTAAGTATGGTTAAAAGTACCTTAAAAAAGGGGTTACAAGTAGTTATAAGTATAGTTACCCTAATAATAACCTTAGTTACTAAGTCCCATGATCTTTCAAGTACTAGGCGACCACATGAGGGCACACAGTTCAGGGTTTAGGGTTAAGTTACGGGGTTTGGGGTTGGAGTTTAGCGTTTAGCGGCTTTTCTAGCGTTGAGGGTCTGAGGCTTCTGATTTCTAAAGGAGCATTACACGGCCTAAGGCGTCTCCACTGGTTTCGAATATATCCCAAACCCTAAACCCTAAACCGTTAAGGTTTAGGGTTTAGGGTTTAGGGGAACGGAAGGCACCGACCTTTCGGACGTTCGCCTGTGAACGAGGTTTCAAACACAAACTTGTTGGTGGGATCCTATCCGCAAGCATCAACTAACCAGTGCTTTTGGGGCTCCCTTGGCTCTTTAGCTCGTTATTGAATAGGGGCTCTCATCATCCCTGGCTCCAGTATCAAGGGTTAGTCAAAAACAAAATGTACGGCTAAACACTAAGGATCCAGGCAGCACCTGCTCCATCAGCAACATCTTGAATGGGACCCCCCGGGAGCCAAGTACTCAGCATGCAGATTCGCCTTTTTGTTTGTACATGTAAGTGTGTGTATATATATATATATACATACACAGGTATGCTGCATAAACACATACATGTGCTTACACACATAACCAGGTCTACAACAAATACTATTTAGGTGGGTTGTTTGGTGATGCAATCCTTTGGCATACAGCACTTATTTTTTCACCTTTGGGGCACAAATGTAGGATATTGCTTGAATACTGGCAGCCTTTGGCAGAAGGCCCACTCCTCAGAATTACCCGCCGATGAGGGTTTAGGGTCAGGCAAGGTTTGTTTGTCTTTACGGGCCCTTTTCCGCCTGCAGGTACAGTAGGAATTCTGGGTTTGTGGGGTTACTTAAGGTAACTTAAGGGTTTGTAGTTCACGATTTATGGTTTGCGGCTGAGGGTTGAAGTCTGCTTCGTTAAGCTCTTCGTTCGTGCTGTGGGCATAGCACAACATTCAGCTATTCTATCCCATGCCTGGAATGGAGTCTGCTGGGTGAACGCCAAGCCAACCGCTATGCAGAAGGTCGGGAACAAGGGCTCAGGTGAAAAAAGCAACAGCACATCCGCATAATGTCAAGAATCGATGGAAAATGGCCTGGCACCTGCCGTGAATATAATATAGGGGCTTAATAAAATGAACAAGGATTTGGAGCCTATAAATATAATAAGGACCCCCGCCCAACATAGTATACGTAATTATGAAGGCCCCCGGATTAAAGTAAATATACATTCCAACAGACATGCATTTCACATGTTGGCTATGGTTCCTCCCATGAATCACGTGACCAACGTCGTGTGCGCTAAGTCTCAGGTAGCTCGAAGTTGGGCAGCCAAGACGTCCTAGGCTGCAAGGTGATTGGATGGGGTCTCTTTCATGGTCAACCGCACCACTGATTTATTCGCAAACCCAGAAGAGCAAACGTGGACTTGCCCAATGCTCCTTGTTAAGCCAGTACAACCCCAACACCGAACTAGGTGCCAACTATCCGAATCACTCAAGACACATTGATAAGCAAACTCCAACACTCAACCAGCCCTAACCCTAAAACCCTAAACCCCTAAACCCCTAAACCCCTAAACCCTAAACACTCAACCAACAACAGACCGATTATCAGCCCTCAAACTTATGACCTCAAGTCGGTAAAAAATATGTTGACGATCGATGAAGCAGAAACTCCAAAGAGGATGAGCATGCTCGGAAGCGTTCGTCTATGATTTTACGGTGTCCTCATGAAAGATCCGGGCATAGGGGGGTAGAGTCGGTGACGGAGACATATGGGAGTTGCCGAAAATTGAGGCTACCTTCTTCTGGGGTCCTTATAGTAGGGATCCTACTATTTAGGGTGCTATATCAGGGTCCCCCATTTTCGGAAACCCCCATATACTTTCTATCACTTTTTACCCGATATGCTTTGATCCTGAGGATTTCTTATGGCTGCATGCTTCAGCTTCGAGCTGGGGTTTAGGCTTTAGGGGCTTAGGGTGTAGGGTTAAAGGGTTTGGGGTTTAGGGTTTGGGTACCCCAAATAATAGGTGCTGTGTTATATTAAGGACCCAACAAGGTACCATAAGTTTGACAACTATATGTACATATATATATATATATATATATATATAGCAGTTCCTCCATTTCCTATACTGAAAAGGGTACACTCGCAAAAACTACAATGTTGGCTGTTCCGGTTAAAGTTTTATAGTAGTCAAACAGTATATGAAAAAACAGTTCCAAGCACCCAGAAGTCTCATGGAGGCTTTTGGAAAGTTCAGAGCAACCCCAACATCAAACCCGCCGACTGGAGACTCGGCACCGGACTGGAGCTAGGTCTTGGCATTGAAGGTCTCAGCAAGAGGGACAGGACGTCGCAGTTCATGGATGTGCCGGTTCGAACCCCCAAAGGGTCCATTTACCGAGGTTCATTTACCGATGCGGTATAACTTTTGGGCACGTTCTACATGTAAAAACTGACATTATAGAACTCTTCCCTTTAAGGGTGGTTGAATGCTGTATAGGCATCATGGACCCTCAGGAAATGACCCTAAGGCATGGCGGATGCTGATGTCCGTCATTCTCGGGTACCAAGTATGTATGTGTGTATGTATGTGTGTATGTATGTATGCAAGCATGTATGTATGTGTGTATGTGTGTAGATGTGTATGGGTGTATGTGTGTATGTATGGATATAAGTGTTTCTGTGTTTATGCATGTGCACCCTGCAGATGTATGTATAAATGCATACAGTATACATATATATATATATATATATATATGGTTATATATATATACATATATATATATATATACAATACAGTTGAAGGTGTAAGGTAGAGCTTTTGTGTTTTTATTCGGTGTAGGTAGTAGGGGGTTTAGGGTTGAGGGTTTAGGTGTTTTATATATACTATATAGTTGAAGGTGTAAGGTAGAGCTTTTGTGTGTTTATTCGGTGTAGGTGGTAGGGGGTTTAGGGTTGAGGGTTTAGGGTTTTTTGTTCGGTGTAGGGGTTTAGGGTTTATAGTAGATTCCCTAGCAAGCTGGACACCGGATTAAGGACAAATACTGCTGATGATAAAAATCCTGCATTACCTGAAGGACCCTAAACTACGGGAATTATGGTATATTCCTGATTATGGGTTAATGCAGGATTTATATCATCAACCGTAGTGCTGGGATTCCTTTTACATTGCTCTTACGGATTGAGGCTATTGGGTTTTCAACTTTTCAGCTTCTACCATGGAGCTATACGGTTTAGGGATCGGGTCTAGGGTTTAGGTTTAGGGCTTAGGGAGTTTTAAGATAGGGGGTCACAGGCCACATAAATGTAAATATCCCAGAGGCACCTAGGTAGGCGCATATATATATATATATATATATATATATATTTATATACTTATTTATATTTATATATATATATATGTCCACAGTGTGTATATATATATAGTGAAGATTCCAACAACCCCCCCCCCCCCCCCCCATGCGATGTTCCCATGTTTCGGTGTACATGCAGGCCCGAGGGACTTCATAAGCACGGCTTTAGGTGAGGTAAGCATGCTTACAGTTACTTCACACCGTACTTAAAACTCCACATATAGCTGTCCCTGAACCTTCAAACAGTAGACGTGCGGCACACTAAACATTGAACCTGACGCCTGAAGCACAAAAGAGAGATGTTCCAGGCTGCCCACCGGTGACTCGTCCCCCCTTCCTTGGGGCGATGTCGGCGAAGTCGGCGATGTCTCATCGGCCTCCTGCGACCTAGGGCAAGGCTGAGGACTTGAGGCAAAGGATATGAGGGCGCAAAGTCTTAGATGAAAAGGGGCTGAGAGCGCCTACATTTAGTTGATTCAGAGCCTGCCGGGTTGCTAGGCCTACTTGGAGGTTCATGGGTAGTCGTAAGGAGGGTTATGAGTAGGGTAACTATACTTACAACCCATTTGAGGGGACTTATAACCCTACTTATAACTACCCCTGAACTCTAAACCCTATACCCTTATAGAATCCCTATAGATCCCTTTAAAGGACGCCTCTGATCCCTACCTACAACTACCCCTGAACCTCGAAGTAAGGGTTCCAGGCATTGGGTTTGAGCTCCAGCTGCTGACTACAACATGGAAGGGCTTCGTACATAGGGCCTCCCCATAAAGGGAACTCCAAAAAGTTGGAATATGGTTTCATGGTAGGATCCCCTATAATTTACCTTAAAGGGGTTACGATAATGATATTCCAACTTTCTGGCTTCCACTGTACCCTGAGGCTCTAAGGACTCATACATTAAGGCTTTTGGGCCCAAAGACCATACTATATAAGGCTTCTGGGCCATTTTGAGCCTTAGGGAGACTGGGCTTAGAGCGTCTAGGGTTTGAGCTACTTTACTGGTTTCTTGCATGTTCTGGACCTTTTGGATGATTCCATGGGGTTTGGGGTGGGGTAGTGGGTGGGGGTGGGTAGGGGTAGTGACGTCGGTCCGAAGGACGACTATACCCAAAACAGTGGTATTTGCGATTCGCTGCTTTATACAACATCCTGCAGAAGGATGGCTTAAAATTCCGGCATGATGTGCGCTGCTACAAGAGTTGATACCTTTTGTCAGCATGCCCAACACACCTGTATCTGCAGCATTGTTACCTCTGTTCGCAACATCTTGCACAAAGATATGGTGGCGATGAAGAAGAAAATAAAGATGATCACTACCAAACGATAATCCAATAATGGCTATGTGAAATTTCTGTACAATGTGCCATCGTTTCCGGCAGGCTTTACAACCTTTATCTTCTGCCTCAACATCGCGCTAAAGCCTCGGTTGCCTACACCTGAAACAATGCAAAGTAACACGATGCCCCATGCGCCCGCACCCTTATAGTTACAAGGGTGTCGATGCGCATGGGCCTACATTGAAAGCAACCGTCAACAGACAGCCTGGAATTGCAAAATGAAAGACTTGCTAGAGTGAGCTTCTTGGGAAAGAAGCGACCATGACGGCTTTAGGACTTTAGGGTCTAGACCATTAAATCTCATTTTATGGTTAGGATCCTATAGTAAGAGCTAAGGCACCCAGAAAAAAAGGTATTACATTTAAGGGCCTAGGTAGGGTTTAGGGAACTAGTTGGATAATCGAATTCCGCATCGGTCTTCGTTGCGTTGTTTCCAAACAGAACGCACAGCCGTGCAGACCCTGACGAGGCCGAGGGTCTGGCAAGAGGATCATGGGACTACGTAACTGGGTCATTACTAGGGTAACTATACTTATAAATACTTATAGCCCCAATTAAAATACTTAAAACCTTGCACACTAAGTCCTATGATTCTCCATGGCGTGTTGTAGGATCAACAGTATGTTTCGGGTTGCAGTTCTGCCTGAATTTCCAAGTCAGGTTGTAAGGTGTGCAGCAACCAATATGTTCCAGCCATCTAGTAGCCGCTAGCAGCATGACAACTTTTCTCCCAAGGGTCACAGCCCAACACAGCCCAACTAGGAGAAGGCAAAGTAACACCGTAAGTACCCAGCTGACTTTTAAACAGCCCTCCATCTTAATCTCCGAGAAACCAACTTCAAAAAACAGCAGCTCAAGCCACACCTTACTCCATTTGAGCCACTTTTGCAATCTTGTTTGCAAGTCTTGCCACCGACTTGGAGAAACTTTGGCTCAAGGTGCGGCAACGACCCCCCGAGTTTGTACCTAGGACACACGAAACCCCAGTTGCTTGAGACCGCAGCAGTAAACCCTAAACCTTAAAACCCGGGACTTGCAAGAGGGTATCTGCCATAATTACTCCCGCATCGACACCATGCGCTCTAAACTCTTCGGAGCCATTAGGGTTTAGGGTTGAGGAGAAACAACCTTCATGAGGTCAATGCTGATGTGGGGCTATCCATGTGTTGGGTGCTTTGATGTGTTCAACGTGGTTGGTTTCGGCGTAACTAGGATAAGACAAAAGGCGAGGACAACTGACTACACCAAGCTTCGGGTTACACAGTTATACAATACCTAGACCTTATATGGGAGTTTCCGAAAATAGGGGACCCTAATATGGTACCCTAAATAGTAGGATCCCTTTTTATAAGGACTACATAATATGCTACCCCTATTTTCGGAAACTCCCATATGTAGAAATTGTCGGTAGCCAGAGTGTTTGACCATATCAGACCATAATAAATACAGCGACATAACAAAGTGCACTGGTCCGGACCCCTGCTTCAACCCTAATATAGGGGCCTCAATAAATAGAATATGTTTTTTTGGGCTCTTTTCTAGTAATTATACTTATAAGAAAGTAATTGTGTAGGCTTCTATGGTACCAAACCCTAAACCCCTTAATCCTACTATAGTACCACCTAGCCTAGCCCCCCTTCTCGCCCGACACCTTGGCTCACACAAAGTCGCGACAAGTAACCAGTGAATACATCTCGCGCATTCCTACAGGACCAGATGACACCGCAGGGAATCAATGAACCGGGCTTAAGTTATCTTAAGATTTCGTTATCAATTGAAGAAGAAATCATGTTATTCACTATACTATATACACCTTGAGCCCTAAACCCTAAACCGTGCGTTTGAGATTCGCCTTTCGCTCTACCTGCATTGGTGGAACCCAAACCGTCAAACTCAAGCAACCCTTTCAACTGGTCCCAGAAGGGAGTTTCCGAAAATAGGGGACCCTAATATGGTACCCCAAATAGTAGGATCCTTAGGACCCCAAATAGAGTACCCCCCAAATTTTCGGAAATTCCCAGATTTCTGTACAAAACATCTCTCTCCAAGGGTCCGGGCCCCCATAGCGTCACCACAGTAACCAAAATACTCAGGACCCTTCAAGGCCCAGGCAATTTGAACAGCATTCGGCATAGGGACCCTTACCCTAAGGCTCTAAGGACTCATATATTAAGGCTTTTGGGCCCAAAGACAATACTATATAAGGCTTTTGGCCTATTTTGAGCCTTAGGGTTAGAGAGTTGCGCGGTGGGCCTCTCCTCCGTCCCCCAACGCAGCAAGGCTTCTGCTACTGAGCTGCTGCGAGACGGTCCTCAGAAAACCTAGAAAACCCCAAGCGCCCAACAGTGTAAAACCGCTTGTATAGCAGTACGCAAAGACTGATTACACAGCCAACAGCAACCTTGGGTAGACACTCTGCAGAACAACCTTCAATAGGGTAAATGTTCAGGTACTATACAGCCTACGGATGTGGCTCTTCGGGATTGACTGGCTGAACAGGCTCGAGGTTTTTAGGTCCCGCACAATCGCACCGCCTCAGTCTCAGAAATGTCTCAGAAATATCGCATCTGGGATGGCGGAACCGTCGCCACTCGCTGTAGCGACTGCCCAAATGCCATCAGTCCTGGCATATACCCAAACCCCTAAACCCTGCATGAACCCCTAAACCTTGAAATCCTCCACACCCTCAGAACATCTAAAAGCCCTGACAACCTGCAAATAAAATCTCTGACCAGGGGCTTGATGTTCGGGCATATGAACCGAAACAGTTTAGGGTTTAGGGTTTAGGAGATGGAAACACGAGGCCACATGCCCTGTAATTAAGCCCTCCGCGACCCCCAAAACGCCCTCGCCTGAGGCTTTTGCCTGAAACCCTGAATGCAAGAGTAGGGTTTAGGGTTTAGGGTTTAGGGTTGGAGCCCTCGACCGACTGTTCCGGCGCTCCTCCGCCAAACCCCACTGTGACCTTGCTTTCACGGACTTTTGTGGCTTTTGGTCCTACCTAGAGTCTCTATTGTAGTTCCTTTTTTGGTTAACCGGTGTTATGGTTAGGATCCTATAATGAAGATTTTGGTTAACCAGAAAAAGGAACTGCAATGGAGACTATAGGCAATCCCCAAGTAGGTATTTGGCCGTTAAAAGTTACGGATCCCACACTTCAAGGACTTCTGGAATCCCCCTTAAGGCTTGAAGCCCTCGGCGCATGAAACCTAAGTTGTGGACAGACGCGCTGAAAGAAGTTGCAGGGCTGGGGGGCTTCATCTGGAGGTGTTGCGCGGCTTAAGCCTTTAATGGGTTTGTGATCTGTAACACACCCCCTTCCGAAGATCTGGGTGCTTCCCGGGTAGGACTACTTTAGAGGCTTGACAGGCTCTCAGCATCACTTAGAAGGCTTGCCCAACGGCTCCATGTACCTTTGTAGTCTTATAGATACTTCAGCCTTGAAGGAGTCCCTATATACAGTAGAAGCCCAAAAGTTGGAAACCCAATAGCCTCAATCCTGAAGAGTAGTGCATAAGGAATCCCAGCACTAATTGTCCTTACTCCGGTTTCCAACTTTTTGGGGTTTGCTATAGTTATTTCAAGGCCTAAGATTAATCTACATGGGCACATGGAGCCTTAGGGTTGGATTCCCGCAATTCGGAGGTCTGAGGCTGGACATGCCACAGCTATGAGCGAGCCTTGAGAGTCCTTCTGTGCATTGTTGAACAAACTATTACTGCTTTGGGGTTTAGGGTTTAGGGTTCTTGTTTTAGCAAAGAAGGACAGATTGTTGAAGGTTTCATGCGAAAACATAAACCCCTAAACCCCACACTAAACCCTAAACCCCTAAACCCCTAAACCCCCAAACCCCTAAACCCTAAACCCTAAACCCCTAAACCCCTAAACCCCTAAACCCTAAACCCCTAAACCCCTAAACCCTAAACCCCCAAACCCCTAAACCCCTAAACCCCTAAACCCCTAAACCCCTAAACCCCTAAACCCCTAAACCCCTAAACCCCTAAACCCCTAAACCCCTAAACCCTAAACCCTAAACCCCTAAAC